TGTTCTTCAATACTATTTGTATCTCGATTAGTCCGGTTTTAAATAGTTCAGGATATTGTCGGAACCGATTTGTTCGCGTAGTCCGGATTAATTAAATTTGAATTGAGTAAAATAAAAATAAATTCTAATAAAAAGAGTACAGAAAATTGTTTTTGTATTCTACATAAATGATCATGTTATGTTCTTCAATACTATTTGTATCTCGATTAGTCCGGTTTTAAATAGTTCAGGATATTATCGGGACCTCGCAAAGTACGGATTTCATCAGTTCAGATTAACTAAATTTTAATTGAGCAAAATACAAATAAATTCTAGAAAAAGAGTACTGAAAATGTGTATACATAAATGATCTTGTTATGTTTTTCGGTACAATAATATTGTGCGATTTTAAGTTTCTCGATTAGTCCGGTTGTAAATAGTTCGCGATATTGTCGGAAGCGATCACTTCGCATAGTCCGGTTTTCATCAGTGCGGAAATTTTAATTGAGAAATATAAAAGAAAATTCTAAGAAAATTTGTATGATCTTGTTACTTGTCACACTTAATGAATTGAAGTTTCTTATTGCGCGATTTTAAGTTCATGGATTAATCCGGTTTCAAATAATTCAGAATACGCGCACTATGCGAGGTAATGCTGTATTTCATATTGAATTCCTAAATACTCTTTACTTATACATGTAAATTGTACTTGTATTAATGTAATTTACTTGGCAAGTATCACGTTTCGTTTTACAAATGGCAGTTATTTAGTTTATCATGTATAAATACAAACACACTCAAAATAATAATAATAGGAGGTGTGAGGTGAGGGTGGAATTGAAATAATTAAAATGCCTTTGAAATTTTGTGAATGCGCACAGAAGAATGAAAATAACGATGACGAGGTGACAGCTCCTCGGCCCGGCATATCCTCGTTCCGGTTCGGGGAAAAAGAGACAAGCAAAAAAGAAAACGTCCCTTAATTATGGAATTATCAGGAGCCCGAGTAATTGTCACTTTCGTACCAATTAACTAAGTGGTAATAGCCTCAGGGGTGGGTGGCGTTCTTCATTCGCACAAAGACGTTTGTAATTAATTTTCGGAACGAGCAATAAAGTCATAATTGCGCGACGCACCGTTTCCAACCACCAACTCTCTGCCTCTCACACTCATTCTCTACAGTCTCTACTAATTGATTTATTAAAATCCGTGTTACGGATTCCCGATTAAATCTTCCATTCTTTTTTCCAGAACCGCCTCCAAACAGCCGCCACCGCCGCCGCTTCCACCGCCACCGGAATCGATATTTATTCTCGTATTTGTTCTGGGTCCATGTCGAACGGTGGTAGCAGTAGTAGTAACACTAGTATTTGTCGCACCTAAATGTTGATTAAACATCTGTCAACAGACCGCCCCGAAACTGCTGCTAACGTGTCATTATTACCTTTTATGATGATAATAACGTCGGCTCGTATAACCGAGTAACATCCACCACCATCCACTGTGTTTACAATAAAGGGTTGAACCCTGTTTATTGTTGTCATTTCGGGGCTGCGACTCGTTTATTGGCCGAGCGAGTGAATTCGGTTACAATTGCATTAAAGAAACTTTCGAACGAACATGATGGCTGATGCTTGTGGATCCTGTACTCTCCAAAAAAAAAAAAGGGTTCGACCCTTCTTCCTCTCGATGGCAGCTGTCCTCACCAATAAATTTATTAATTATACACGATGAACGACACGAAATAGAAATATGTGAAAATAACTCCACCCTTTCGCCCATTAACATTTTTTTTTTACCTTCAACATTTCAAATGCTTTTATTGCCAATATTTCAATTCTTGTTACGTTCAGTGAAAGGTAACTTATGTTAACCTGTTGATTTCCAACATAAATAAAAACCAACATACATTTATAACCGTTTTTAAAGTTTTTAAATAATGTAAAGATTTTTACTCTCCAATTAAATAATGTTTATCCAAAGTTTATCGAAGCAATTTTACGGTTTGTGTAATTAGTATTTAAACTATTTCAAAGATTCCAATCAAAATAACTAAAAATATGTAATTAGTATACAAAAAAACGTATAGTTTATATCGTTTGTAAAGTCTCAGGAATAGAAAATATTTTCAATTCACATCTGAATACATCAATAGTTAACTTAGTGGTTTAAAATGTTATAACTTTATGAATGCAAGTATAACATTTATTGGAATTTCATGTATATTACAGATCTATGAAACACTAACTTCTACATTAAAATTATAATATTTTAAACAGAAAATGTCACAAGTTACAACACCTATATAAGAAAATTAATATAAAATACTTGTTCAATTTTTGTTTTTGAAAAGACAGCTCACTCGTAAAACCAGCATCAATATAAAAATGTATAAAAAATAAAACGAAATAAATATAAAGTGTATCAGTCTTCTAATTTCATGCAAAATTGTAGCATGATCTATTTTGTAATAGAATATAGATAATTTAGAAAATTTTACAATTATTTTAGAATAAAATATTTACAGTTTTTAAATTTATAATTACAATTTATATACAAAATCAATATTTTTTTATTTAATAATAAATTTCAAAAATTGTCAAATTGATGTATCCACTGATTGTAATGAATTGATTAATTAATATCTTTAATTTATTATGAGAACTGTTTCACTATTTCTCATCAAATCCGAAATTTTCCAGATATTCTTTTTTCACAATACAGTGAAACCTCGCTTAACGAACATTTTGCTTAACGAGCAAAATGAATTGTTAGAAAAATGACGTTGATGTGAAATGAAATTATGTGTATTTTTGAATATATTAACCATCTTCAATTTTCTTTGTCATCTTTGTTTAAAGCGGACTATACTTTGCAAATATAATTTGTGTTTGCTGTAAATGCAAAACTCAAATGTATTGTGTCCAAACATTATTATAATATATAAACACACTATGTACGCTTTTTTATATAAACAAATATTAAAAGTATAAAGAGACTTCCAACAAGTAATATAAACAAATATAAACTCACTTCACCGTGTGTGAATTGGAAAACAGTTCATAGTGTTTAGTGGTAATTCTAGTTGCATCTTAGTGTTGTTTGTGATCACAAAATTTCCAAACTTTTGTTCAGACATGTTATTTGTGTTTTTTTTTTGTGCAAAATTTAATAAAACTTGCATGTCTCCGAATAAAAAGCCAAAGAATAGAAAGAACCATAGATATAAAAAGCAAAATCATTAAAAATCGAGACCAACTTATACTTTTTTCTTCCGGCAAAGAACGCATTATCGTAATTTACATTCGTTTCTATGGGAAAACATGTTTCACTATACTAATATTTCACTATACGAGTAATAATCCTGAAATTTTGGAATAGATTAAACTCGTTAATTCCAAATAACTAATAATTAGTCTAATTTTCATTGATAATAATTACATGTGTACCAACTTAAATAACAACTGTTTAAAACCTAAACTAAAGGAGGTATTAGCTTTCAATAATTTGCGCAATCAAATTAATTAAACAAGTAATTCTTAGTGTATTTGCGTGTATTTCAACAATTTGCGCAATCAATTCTGATCCGAAACACAAGAGTCAAATTAATGTTAATTGAGTGTAAATAATGCAATTAATAAAAAGCATAACATTTTCATTTGCGGCCAACTAGAAAAAACGATGCGCTCATTAATAAATGCGTGTGTGTGTAAAAAAAAAAACGAGAGCGACGAGAGGAGATCTTTGATTCTTTGTGTAATTGTACGGCGTTTATGTCTCATAATATACATTAGTCGAATCAAGGGTACAAAGACACTCGAGGTATGAAATAGTGTCGTCTGCGGAAAAAGCGGCAAATTCCATATATATATATACGTGTATATATGCGTCATCTATATAGATGCATGTGTTTACGGCATTTTTCTTTCATGGTGATGCTTTTTTTTTTATCTCTCTCTCTCGCTTTTGCTCCAAGCGCGCAATGTTTATGTGCGACAAACGAGCCGAGCTCGTTTGGATTGGGGTGGCGTTGCGAGGGGGCGCTCGAAGGAACGAGCACCACCCGCGCACGAGCAATAATTTTTGGTTATGTAAATGGGGATGTTAGAGCGACGGACGGAGGGGAAAGAGAAATAGAGAGAGAGAGAGATGAGGAGGAGGAGGAGGAGGAGGGAGCCGGCGAAATATCTCGTCAGAAGCTCATTACCAAACAACCCCAACATCCCCTTCGCAGCAAAACAGACGCCATATTGATGGTGCTTAATGCGAACTGCTTCTGTGTACGCGTTTTTTTTTCTTTCGCTCTTGCACATACACCAACCCCATCTTATATCCTCTTCTAGGGTACTTCTAGGGGGGGCGGCGATCCCTTGGATTGGTGTATAGATTTATTTATAGTAGAAAACAACAAAGCCAAAGTGGATAAATGATGATGATGATCACAATCATCCATGGATGAAACCACGAGGAATAATCCGAGTATTTGTAAACAAAAGGAAGTCATCGTTATGGTTATGACGATTCGAAGGAGGATGTGACGCGATCGCCATGTTGGAAAAAATGGCGTCGCCGTTGTTTCCGAAAACAATGGGAACAGCGAATATTGTTCAGTTGTTGCATTGTGCTCCCAACGAAAAAGGAGTCCGGCCAACTGAAAACACACCTCGACCGAAAAACCCTTCTCCTTCTTCCGTTCCATCACCATCATATCAACTCTTCTTTTCACTCTTTCACACACACATTTGGTCTTTTTTATTAGCCGGCCGTGAAAAGTGAAAACACTTGAATGCGTGATGACATATCATCGTGTCATCACGGTGGTGTGTGTGTGTGTGTGGTGGTTTGTGTTCGCCCTTCTTCCTCTTTCGTCGGGATCTGTGAATGGGGAAGCCTCCACACACACACTACACACTACACACACCTCCACCTTTATAATTATTATTATTATGCTCAACTTCTCAAGCACAATAATGCCTTTCAGGTGTCCATCAAACCAACACAAACAGAATTCTTCCACTTACCGGAGAGGCATGAGCCGGGGCCCGATGATCCGAAGGACGATTTCAATTGAGAGAACCCTGCGAAACGAGACCAAGAATTAACACATATTAGCATTATTAATTACACGCTCTACAATATTCTCCACCACCTTTGCACAATGAACTCGGAATTTCATTCACAGCTCTAACACCAAAACACTGACACTTTAATAATTTCACATATATAGAAATTTAAAGTGCCAACTTTGATTATTTTTCCATAATGATATTTAATACCAACCAATAAAAATATAGATTATCATGAATGACATTTAGTAAGAATTCAACATATACAAAAACATAGTACCAACTTTGATTTATAGACAAATTTATAAAAAAAAAACTTCAGTTTGTTTTTATACGAGTTTCATATAAATATTCATAATCAACCCGTTTCATAAAAAAGAAATAAATTTATAATTCAACAAATACAAAATCATAGTACTAACTTTCGTTTATAGAGAAATTTATAAGAAAAGTTGCATATGCAAATTTTTAGTAAAAACTTCATTTTTTAGCTAAAAAATATAACAACTACAGTTTTTATATTCGATTTTCACAAAAAGATTCAATACGAATAATTGCTCCAAAAGTGACAATTACAATTCAACATATACAAAAACATAGTACCAACTTTGATTTATAGACAAATTTATAAAAAAAAACTTCAGTTAGTTTTTATACGATTTTTATATAAATATTCATAACAATTACCAATGACATTTAGTGACGTTTATAATTCAACAAATACAAAATCATAATACCAACTTTCGTTTATAGAAAAATTTATAAAAAAAAGTTGCATATGCAAATTCTTAGTAAAAACTTCATTTTTTTAGCTAAAAAATAGAACTACTACAGTTTTTATATTCGATTTTCACAAAAAGATTCAATACGAATAATTGTTCCAAAAGTGACAATTACAATTCAACATATACAAAAACATAGTACCAACTTTGATTTATAGACAAATTTATAAAAAGAAAAACTTCAGTTTGTTTTTATACGATTTTCATATAAATATTCATAACCAATGACATTTAGTGACGTTTATAATTCAACATATACAAAATTATAGTACCAATTTTCGTTTATAGAGAAATTTATAACAAACTTTTAGAAAAAAAAAGTTGCATATGCAACTTCAATTTTTAGCTAAAAATAATATAACTACTACAGTTTTTATATACGATTTTTACAAAAAGATTTGATACGAAAGTGACAATTACAATTTGACATATACGACTGCATAGTACCAACTTCGTTTTATAGATAAAGTTATAATAACTTCAGTTATATTATAGTTTCCATTTTCATAAAGTCTTTATATTTCTGCATTTCACTAAATAATAGTTAACATTACATTATTCTCTTTCTTAAATCAAATCAAACTCATTTTGATAGAACTTTCTTTTGGTTTTTTTTTTACTTAAAATTTACATTTTTATTAACATATTAGTTAAATTTGGTTAAATAATCAAATGAAATATAAAAAAAAATGTAATTATTCATTAAAAATATACAAAATTTATAAAATATACTCATTTTGATTAAGATATTTTTAATCAAAACTCGATTATAATTCCATGAAATATAATAGAAAAATTGAATCCTTACAAAAGGATTACGATTAATTGATTGAGACGTTGCTCCGAGTTTTAGCTTTTGTATCTGATTCGTCTGCAGACTTGAGTAAACTTCAATTAAAAGTTAACTCGAAGTTCGAAACAATTAATTATGTTGATCTGAGGAAATTACTAAATCTTTATAAAAATCATATTATTAACTTCTTCATTTAAAATTTTGAATCTAAATCATAACGCATTTTTGTTGTACACAATATATAATAGAAAAATTACATAAAAATCTTCAAATAACGAGTATTTCAGATGAAATAAAAATAAAATTGTAATTTTTATACTTTCAAATATACTAAGAATGTACAATCATTCAACTTATACTAAATCCTAAATTACCATTTTTTTTAAACTATTTACAGATTAATCTACAAAGTAAAAGTTGATATTAATTTAGCTATTAACGTAAATTAATTAATCTGAATCATTAATATTAGTAAGTCAATATTCTACAATATTGATCTGCTATTAATTAATTTGAATTTTATTACAAATAATTGGTTTTATTCACATTGCCACAAGAGAGATGATGATGACTGCAGAGCTCTCGTTTCGCCTTTTGTTTGTATCGATTTTGATGTTAAAGTTCTCACCGAGAGAGTCAGAACAATGGACTCAACGTTCGGTTCCAAGTTCAAGAATCCTCGTTTCCTGTCTTCTTTTTTTTTGCCTACTATCCATTTAGCTTTTCACACCCACAACAATTTTCCAACTCAAGAGAGAATTTAATATTTTCCAATCAAGAAAACACGTGGTTTATGTTAGTTATTATGTGTCGAACAGACGCATAAAAGTAAAACAATTTCTAGAATAAATTAATAGGAACACCTCGTATAGTGCTAATATACCGCACTGTTTGAATTTGATCTTTTAAAAGCAATAAAAAGTACAAAAAGAAGGTTGATTTTACCGCACTCTGTGAGGTATTGCTCAGACACGTATAACATTTAATTTTAAAATTTGCTAATTCTTCTATTTTTTTGAAATTTCATTATATATCATGAAACATACAAGTAAAAGACTTTTTGCAAATAATTCTTTGAACAAGATTAAAACAAAATATATATTTACGATTTGCAATTTTCTACCAATTCCAACAATTCACGTAACAAAATAAATTTAAAAAAAAAACCTTTAGTATTCTGCATCTGATGGAAAAAATCTGCAAAGAAATACAATAAATTAGTTAAGATTTTCTAAAATTTTTGGTAGATTAAATAACAGAACATTAGCAATTAGTTTTCAACTTAATTTCACAATAAGTCAATACGTTATATTTCTATAAGATTTTCGTAGGTTTTTTGGTAGATCGAGTAAAGAAATTGATTTACAATAAGTTTTAGTAGATTGAACAAAAAATTCATTTTCAATTAGTTTTCATCTTAATTTCACACATTTACTTAAAGAAATAAGTGAATACATTATATTTCTATAAGATTTTTTTTAGGTTTTTTTGATAAATCGAGTAAGAAAGTTGTTTTACAATAATTTTTATAAGATTGAATAAAAAAATCAGTTTTCAAATTAATTTCACTTAAAAATAAGTCAATACGTTACATTTCTATAAGATTTTCTTAAGTTTGTTGATAAATCGAGTAAGAAAGTTGATTTACAATAATTTTTAGAAGATTGAACAAAAAATTCATTTTCAATTAGTTTTCAACTTAATTTCATTTAAAAATAAGTCAATACTGTATATTTCTATAAGGTTTTCTTAGTATTTTTGGTAGATCGAGTAAAGAAATTGATTTACAATAAGTTTTGGAAGATTGAATAAAAAATTCATTTTGCATTAGGTTTCAACATAATTACACATATTTACTTAAAGAAATAAGTCAAAACATTATATTTCTATAAGATTTTCTTAGATTTTTTTTTGTAAATCGAGAAAGAAAGTTGATTTACAATATTTTTTAGAAGATTGAATAAAAAAACATTTTCAATTAGTTTTCAACTTAATTTCATTTAAAAAATAAGTCAATACATTATATTTCTATAAGATTTTCTTAGGTTTTTTTTGTAAATCGAATCAGAAAGTTGATTTACAATAATTTTTAGAAGATTGAATAAAAAATTCGTTTTCAATTAGTTTTCAACTTAATTTCACTTAAAGAAAAGCGTGATATTTACATAAGATTTGCTAAATTTTTATGTTTTTTTTTAGGTAGATCGAGTAAGGAAATTGATTTTCAATTAGTTTTCAATCAATCGCGAACAATTTGCGGATTGATCGGCTGAAATCTTCTCTCCCCTAACTTTATATCCTTCGATCCTCCTCTTCTTTCGCATATTTTACAACGAGAGAGAGAGAGAGAGAAATCTCAAATTCAATTTTCTAACGTTTCCACCACAGCAAATTGAATTAATGGAGGCAATTGGGGAAGAGCACGTGCCCTCATTTTTATATACATATATAAATAGGAAATATCGTGAATCCGAAATGATTAGCATTTTCTCGATAAACCTAAAAGTGGAATACGCTGCAATAATTGGATGGATTCGCGTACAATACTTCAGACATTGATTTTTCTCTCTCTCTTGTTAGATTCGAAACGAAAGCGCGGAGGTTTCATTAAAAAAAAACACGTGCAGACAAAAATTGGATTAAAAAAAATAAACAAACAAGGATAAAGCGGGACAATGGAAGAAGAAGAAGAATTAAATGCGCGGGGGGGGGTTGGTGTTGGATGTAGGAGGCGAAGGCGGCGGCGGCGGTTGCGAAAAGCGAGGCCATCCGAGATAGAATGTACATCTTGCCGTCAACTAATAAAACACAAGGGTTTAATTAAACTTATTCATCTCCCACTAAACTGGGAGCCGCCTGGAAAACTGCATTTAATTAAGAAGTTCAAATTCTTCACATTTTTGACGTAATTAAGTTTTCAGCGAACCCTCGACCTCGACAGAACACCCAGACTTCATTTCGAATGACTTCATTTTCACTACGCGCGCCCGCGATAATAAAAAATGCAACACTGTAAACGAGCAAAAGTGTGACGTAAGAAAGAAAAAAAAACAACAAATGGAATGACGTGAACGCGTTGCGGGCATTCCTTCTATATTGGTCTATGTCTGAAGGAAATTATGTTTTCTTTTCTTTAGTAGCTAAACACAATACTTTCCAAGTAACTTGGCAATTATACTCGTATAATTGGAAACTTAGATAATCGATAAAGGCATGTGTACATTATCTAAGTAGGTAAGTGTCAAGTAAAATGACAATTTAATTATTTTGCAAACGTTTCAATTTTAAACTAAATTATAAAAAAAAAATATGAATTACGATAATATATTTAATTCTGAATACATTTATACAATAATAACAGTAATTACTAATCGACACTTTTGATCTAATTAGAATTATCTAATTAACTTAAAAAAAAATGAACAATCTTTGATGACAAGTAACAAATTAAGTGATGAATACTTGTTTTATTTTACTTGCAGAAACACAAGTAATTGAGAAATGGTAATAAATTGGTAAGAATCGTATAGTGTGTAATCACCAATATATAAATACATTTATGAAACAAATGACACTTTTGATCTAATTAGAATTATCTAATTGTCTTATTAATTTAAAAAAAAAGAGCAATCCTTGTTGCCAAGGAACAAACTAAATATTGAATACTTGTTTTATTTTACTTGCGTAAGTACAAGTAATTGGGAGGGGGGAAGTTGCATACAAATCCGTAATAATAATTTCCACTACAAGAATTGTTCATTTCATAAAAATTGTAATCAACAAACTAAGTGATGGATACTTGTTTTGTTTTACTTGCAGAAACACAAGTAATTGAGAAATGGTCTGAATACATTTCACAATTTATCTAATAATAACAGTAATTACTAATCGAAACTTTTGATCTAATTATAATTATATAATTATCTTATTAATTAAAAAAATTAACAATCCTTTTGCCAAGAAACAAACTAAATATTGAATACTTGTTTTATTTGACTTGGGTAAGTACAAGTAATTGGGGAAGGGAAACGTTGCATACAAATCCGAAATAATAATTTCCACTACATGAATTGTTCAATTCATAAAAATTGTAATCAACAAACTAAATATTGAATACTTGTTTTGTTTTACTTGCAGAAACAGAAGTAATTGAGAAATGGTAATAAATTGGTAAGAATCGTATAGTGTGTAATCACCTATATATAAATACATTTATGAAACAGATGATAACTCTGAAAAATATATGAATTTCTACGATTAATTAAAAAAAAATGTATATTTTATAGATTAATTATTTACATAAATTGAGGTGAAATAAAATTAATGAAAATTTTTCATGAAAATTAATAAAACCTTTATTTTAATATTTTTTAATTAGTTTGTTTTTTTTTTGACAAAATTATTCATTTAATTAAAAAAAAACAGATATTTCGAATTGACAAGTAACAAATTAAGCGATGATACTTGTCTCGTTTTACTTGCAGAAACACAAGTAATTGGGAAACGATTATGATTAATTAAAAAAAAGTGTATTTTATAGATTAATTAATTACATAAGTTGAGGTGAAATAAAATTAATGAAAATTTATCATGAAAATTAATAAAACCTTTATTTTATTATTTTTAATTAGTTTGTTTTTTTTTTGACAAAATTATTCATTTAATTAAAAAAAAACAGATATTTCGAATTGACAAGTAACAAATTAAGTGATGATACTTGTCTCGTTTTACTTGCAGAAACACAAGTAATTGGGAAACAATGCACAGTATTGATAAGAATCGTATTTATGAAACATATGACAATTGTCAAATACATTTGGAATGCTTTGATCTTTGATTAATTGAAGGTAGATTGAGGTGAATAAAATGTTGATAGTTTTATCATGAAATTTAACAAATCCATTTAGTTTAAACATTGAATAAGTGAATCGTTTTCTAAAGAATGTTTAAATGAAATATAAAGGGAAGGAGAATAACGTTTTAATTCGTTAGGGAGCTGGAATGTACGTATGAAAATATCAGGTGTCATCCGGAAGAGAGCGAAATGGAGAGAGGTTTGGTTTGTTAGAAAGGTCCTTCATCTATCGCTTCCGCAATCCACACACACACACCACACCACACAATGGTGGCCCTCAAAATTGGATTCAATGCGCACGTTAAGTAGCCGTCAAATGATGACAACAGCAAAATACCCGTAGATAAACCCGAGACAGGCTAAATATTCCATTCAACTATAATAGACCGCACGTAATCCGCATTATGTGTATAGAATTGGGCATTTATTGCATTTCGCTTTTGGAAAAATGGCCCTTTCTGTCAGGTATTTCGAGCGGCGAAAAAAGGGATTTCCTTCGCTTCTTCTCTCTTTTCATCGCCTACTTCTTTCTTTCTTTCTTTTTTTCGCTTTATGTGTGATTTCGGGCGCAGAAAAGAGGCGGTCGAGCCACCGCACCCCTCCGCCCCATCCCCCATTATCAACCATCCCGCTTCGTCACCCCGCAATTAGGAAACTCGGACTCGGATTACAAACCTCTAATTGTTAGGAACTGATAGGTGGTGGTAACGTGGATACCATCAATTATCTCTCTATATAAAGGAGATTTACACATGCAGACACTATTTTTTTTTGGTGCACCGCAAAGTTACCAATACTTCTTATAACCGGATCAACTTGCGCCCTTCACGATCTACCCAATTAATTGATAATTACATTCAAAGTAAAAAAAAAACATATGTTCAACTGACTCAATTAGTAAACTTTATATTAAATAATAACACATAATAACATTAAGTGAATGTCTGCAATAAATTAGTTTAAAATCAATTTATATAAATATTTAAATCCAATTAATGTCTTGTTTTTACTATATAATATTCAATAACTATTAGTAGATTAGTAATTGAACGAATATTAACTTGCAAATATATAGTTAATTATATATTTAATAATTGTTAACATTAATTGAATTTAAAGTAAGATCAATTATTCAAATTTTCTCTTCAATAATATACAAGGGTTTCCAATCATTTTTCATAAACAGATTAAGTGTGTACATTAGTTTCACATAATGTCTTTCAATAAGAATTGAATTTGAAACAAATAGAGCCACTAAATTACATAAGTAAATTTAGGATTTTAAGGATAAAAACTGAAATATGCAAAAAAAATAAAGACATTAGAAGTTAACAAGTAACAA